CGGTGCCCCGCGCGGCGGTGGCAGAGGTGGCGGGTCCCTCGCGGCCCGAGGCCAGAGCCCTGTTCAAGTCCTCCTCCGGGCGGACACAGCGGTTAGAAGGAGCCCACAGGAGCTCTCCGCACAGGGCTGGAAGGGGCCGCCTTCTGGGGGGGACAGGCTCCGGGGAGGGTCTTTAAAGTGGGGGGCGTGGCCCGTGCGCGCCCTCTCGTGGCCGCCGCCGAGCGCGCCGCTGGCTTCCTGCCGGCCTGCGCCCTCCCCCGGGTCTCCTGGCGTGTGCACGCAGGGGGGCGCGCCAAGGCCCCGCCCCGCCGCTGGGCCCCAGAAACGCCCCCGGGGCGGGGCTCCAGGAGCTGTCCGCGGGGCGCTGTCCGCGGTGCCGAATTCTCGAATCGCGACTCTCGGCCGCGCTTCGGCGCCTTTTCGGCCTCGGAAAAGATTTTCCGAGGTCTCGGGCCGAAAGACGAAGTTTCGCGCAAGACACGGACCCGCAGGCGCGCGAGCGCGCGGCCCGTTGTGCGGTCTGCCTGGCGCAGCGCGGGTGCTCGTGAACCCCCTCCGCAGGCACCTCGTTTTCGTCCCTCCCCGGCCTTTTATTTTTCTGTAAGACCTCAGGTGGATGGATCCTATGGAACCAGGGATCATCTCAGATCCACGATACACACTCATCTTACTCTACGGACTAACATCCTTCTATTATTTATGTTGGGTCACATGGTAGACCCCATCTCTGAGAAGATGTAGGACTTGGCAATAAATAGTGTTCCCATCCCCCCTCACGGATGTAATCACTCACCCACTTCCTGTGTTAGTTTTTTTTTTTTTTTTTTAAATCCCTCCCAAAAGTCTGTGTGCATGTGCTTCTGTTACCTTTATGGAAAGTCTCTATCAGACTGTGGGACATTTTGAGACTTAAACAGTAACAATCTTACATTCGTTGGGAAACAGTTGCTGTCTTTCACTGTAGGATGCTGTCACTCCTACGGAGTATTTTCTGTTGTGGGTCTTCCAGAGCTAATTTACCTGCTGTTGACTGACACGGGTTGTTTTTACGTTTTTGCTAATGTGACAAACACAAAAGATGTTCTTTTATGTACGTGTGTGTCTGGTTTTGTCTTGTCCCTAAGAGCAGACTTCCAGGACAGGGCCCGTGAGTGTGCTGTTTTAGGCCGTGATGCCACGCAGGCGGGTGTTGTGGGACCAGCAGCACGGAGCCGTGGTGGTGTCGCCTGTCAGCTGGCGGCCGCCTTTGTCAGTGTGACGCTGTGATTGGTGCGCTGCTCTGCCGCCCTGGCTGGCACCGGGGTGCCAGACGTCTCCGTGTTTCTCCCGTGTGCCGGTCACGTTTTGTCCCTTTTATGTTACTGGTGGTTCTCAGGTCTGTGATCCATGGTTTCCTATCAAAAGGCGTTTGAGTTTTTTCTGTGCCTTTCATATTAAGATTCACCATAAGGTGACTAGGGTGTGTTTTCTTACCCACCTCTGTGTGTTCTCTGTTAGTTCGTATCATTTCCTAGAATTATAAAATTTTGGGTCCATGAGTATATTCTAAATGACAGCTTTCTGTCAAGTGTATAACTTGGTTCTTCTTTAAGCTTTTTGATGACTCTAAACTTTTACATTTAGTAATCAAACTTAACTGATTTTTTTAATAGCTAGTGCTTTTGAGTCTTAAATGCTTTCTAATTAAAATCTAAAACATAACTGTCTAAAAGTTTATCTTTTTGGGGTAATTTACCTCTGGAATTGATTAGAGTTGATTTTTGCACCCAGTGGTAGGCAATGATCCACTTTTCCCTCCCATATTGGAATTCCATGGTGGATGCCATCTTGTTATTGAACAATCTCTTTGCCCAGTGATTTCATATGCTGTGACTCATATATTAAGGTTTGATTCACACTTGTCTCTCTTTATCTAGTCACTTGGATTCTATTCTAGTGTCTTCTTTTATTTTGGAGAGACTAGCAATCACAGTAATTCCTCAGGGCCTCTCTGGTTGCCTAAGAAGTTAAGTCTCAGCACTCTCACTGCTATGGCCTAAGTTCGATCCCCAGCCAGGGAGTGACCCACAGGGCGCAGCAGACCTCTCCTGTCTTTCCGCTGCTCTCCACAGTGCAATGTGTTTCATTAGATCCGCCTGTTCTGCTCCCCACTCTTTCTCTGGTAAATCTTCCCACTCCTGTACTGCTGGCCTGTACTCCAGTTCTTCTACACATAAATCAATACACATTTAATTTATCAGACAAACTAAGACATGATCACCCTACTGGTGGGCTACTTAAGAAAGCTTGATTTTATGGCATGAAAATGGGAGGTTATTTATTGGAGAATTTGAGCAGCTGAACCATGATCATGTTCTTGAAGAGCCTGTAGGTGTAACATGGTGGGAGAGGATTGGCAGGGTGTGGGCGCGACGAGTGGATGTAAGGGGACCCAGCCATGTGGTGGCTATCGCAAGTGCTCAGGAAGGAGAAGAGAGTGCTTTAGGTAGCAGCAACAGAGAGGTGTGGATGGTCTTGAGATGGAGCTAAAGCTACTAGAACTCTCTGATCTGTAGAATATGGTAGATGAGAGAAAGTTGGATTCATTCTGAGATGTTTGGCTTGTGAACACCAGAGTGGATGGGGGTGCTGTTTAAAATGGACACTTCTGGGATGGAGTTTTAACTTACTAGGTTTGCTGCTGAATCATAGCACCCCTTTTTGTATTTTCTTACGCCTGCTTTATGGCTGTACGTGTGTTCAGCTTGTTCATGTTTCTTTTTCAAACAGGGAACTCTGATTTGAGAAGTGCAACCAGATCTCTTCTGGAATTCAACACAACAACCAGCTGCGAGCCACAGAATTCAAATCACAAAGTCCAGAGTAGCATCACCTTCCTATGTGGGAAAACCTTGGTGAGTTCACAGCCCTCTGCAATCTGGGTTTTGTGAGCAGTGTTTGCCCCTTTGCCATTTTGTCACAGTGTTCCAAGAATATGGCAGTAAGTAAGCAGAAAGCCTGTTAAGTTACTGGGAAGAACCCAGAAGTAACCGAACTGTAAGCCTAGAGTTGCAACTTTCAGGTGAAACTCGACCCACGTCCTGTGTGAAACTGGCTCACAGTGATGAATTGAGTGGAAGCTCAAAGCGCTGTTTCATGCTCATGCTGCAGGCCCGCTTTTTTTTTTCTTTCTAAATCCTCTTTTTCCGGCATTTTATTTTCTGTTTTTAGCAGACTGCGTGTTGTGTGTTAATGCTTTTTCCTTCCTTGCTTCTATTAACTTGGAGTGTCGGTAGGTTACGGGGTTTCCAACCTTGTTGAGAATTATGTGGTGTCGAAGGGAGTTTGGGGCACATTGTTTAAAGCATGATGTTCTTATTCTGCATATTGTAGTTTTTTTTGGGGGGGGATTCTTAATCTAGCATTTAAAATAGACTTTCAGTAAATAGGTGCTGGCTTTCAGGAAAAGCCATCTGTGTATGAAACCCCGGGAACCTTCTCTAAGCAGGGCTAAGAACTCAAAATTTCTAAAAAAGCAGGACGGACAAAACTCATGTGGCAACCAGATTGCTTTGAATTTTCATTTAAAGTAATTGGTTGACATGGAAGGGAACTTGGTGCTGGGACTCCTTCAGGCCCATGTCTCCGTTGGAGAGCTTAAACACAGAACTGGCTGGCTGAGTTTGGATCGGCCTGGCTCCTGCCTCCAGTGGTCCTTGCTGAAACTTTGGGAGCAAAACTCAGCCTGTTGCGGGGTGCAACATGGAGGCCCCCGCTGCAGGAACGGCCAGCTGCTGCTTTCACTCGAGCTAGTTTCCTTCGAGAGTTCTCTATTCATCAGCAGGCAGCAGAGTTGGAAGGATTCTGTGGGTGCTCTGCTTGAGGGAGGGTGGTGGGAAGTCCCCATCGAGGCTCCTGCGCCCACTCATGATGTTGGGGGCCCAGCTAGGAGGAGCTCTGGCCCCGAGGTCAGGAGCTGCCCTCACGTGTGGGAGCTGGTGCAGGAGCTCGCTGGTGTCCCACGCGGGGCGGGCTGGCGGGCTGGCGGGCTGGCGGGCTGGCGGGGCGGGCTGGGCTGGTGTAGGAGCTGGCCGCGTCCAGATGGGCCTCCTCCCCCCGCGGACAGGAAGCATGAGGTCACGTTTTCTGGCCCCGACTTGTTGGCGCTGGTTTGGAGAATGCTGGAGTCTGAGCAGAAGCACTCTGAGGACCCCCCAGGAGCTTACTCTGCTCACATAGTTGGGGCAGTGGGACAGTTTTGGACTGATTACACCAAAATTCCAGTGTGATTTCATGAAGCTTTATGCTCAGAGTTTTTGGGGTTGGGAACTTCTCCACGGCCTTGTTTAACTGAAACAGTTGCTCCCCTCCGCCCCTGCCTTCGCATGGTTACCTTTAGAGTCTTTGCTGGGTTCTTTAAAATGCTTTAAAACAGAAGAAAGCATTACAGGACTGGCTTTTGTTTCTCCTTTAAATAGGGAACTCCTGAGTTTGTCACTGCCACAAACTGCGTGCATTACTTCGAGTGGAGGACTTCTGCAGCCTGCAAGAAAGACATATTTAAAGCCCATAAAGAGGTAACAAGGTCACTTTAAGGTCACATGCTTGTGAAATGCCACCTGGGAGCTTTAAGATTTGCAATTCACCTTTTGGGGTAAAATCGTCAATTTTTGGATGTCATTCGAGGGATGGTTCCATGTGATTTTATTGTGAAATGGTGGTGGAGACAGCGGCTGCTTGGGCCCCAGGCACCTCCTCCTGGCCTCTGGGGTCCCACCCCACGGGGCACCCTCCGGCTCCCCTCCCTTGCTCTGCTGCGGTGCGTCCCCCCCTCAGGCAATGCCTGGTCTGCGGAATCTCACCGCGCCGTGCTGTGTGCTGAAGTCTGGCCGCGGCGTGGGTCAAACCCAGCTCCTGGACCCCAGCGCTAAGAAAGGGCTTTCTGCACTTACAGATCGTGAAAGCAAAACCCCCAAAGCAAACATGCAAACAGAAGATTGCAGCCGAGCCCTCGTCTGCCTTTGCCCCGCCGCCCTTATCACAGCCTCGGGAATCGGGGTCTCACGTGGCGGGCGGGCCAGAGAGGAGCCCTGAGGGCCGAGAAAAGGGGCTTGTTTCAGGGGAGCCCGTCTTCCTGGGGGCCCCGGGGGGTGGGGTCCCTCTGGCAGGCTGCCTGCTCAGGGTGGCTGGGAAACTTGACTGAGGGAGGGATCGTGTCGCTGGGAGAGGGAGCCGCCATCCCTGCGCTCAGAACGGAGACGGACGAGCTGGGCGAGTGGCCTGCACGCATTCTCTGTCCTTGGAGGCAGATGGAGAGACGATGGGGCTTGGGCCGACCGTCCTCAGGGAGTACCTCAGGTGTGGGTGCAGCGGGCTCCAGTCGCCCAGTTTTCACTTACCCGGGGCTGACTGGCCGCCAGGCAGTGGGGATTTCATAACATGTGGACGGGTTCTTGCTCCTGGGGAGCGCATAGACTGGAGGCGTGAAGGCCGAGGTGAGCGCCACCGGCCCGAGAGCAGAGGCTGCTCGAGAGAGCGCTCACGTCACTAGTGCCAATCACGAGAAGGCATGTTCGCCTTTCTCTGTCTGCAGTAAGACGTGGTCACACCTCAGAGGCTGCTTACAACTTCGGAAGTTGTACTAAGTGTTGAATATACTTGTGAAAACTCCTCACTCCACCAGGCCTGTCCCGCGCTCCACCGCCACACTCCGCCGTCGTCTCCTGGTTCAGTTGTAGTTTTGCATCAGCAGACTCAGTGACTGGGAGAGCAGAGATGGCGGCCCCTGCTGCGCCGGCCGGTCTGGGGGGGCCTGGGGGTGACCCTGGAGCTGTGCGGCCCTCTGCCCCACCCCCTCTCCGGGGCCTGCTGCCTGCTGGTCGTCTTCCCGGAGGTGCATGAATCCGCCCCGTGTGCACACAGCGCGGCCAGGGTGATTTAGTGTGTGGTGCTTGAGCTGGCAGACCACCGCCCGCCGGCTGCTGCATTCCTGCTCTTATGAATGTCTCCTTTGCTCTGCTCCACAGAGCAGGAAGTGGGAGGATTTTCCCCAGGAGCCTTGACTGTTTTTCCGATGCTCGCTCCAGCTCTGTGGGGCGCTGTGTTAGGCGTGTCTCCTGTTCCTTCCCGGAGGAGGGAGGCGGCCAGGAGCGCTCAGGCCTGCAGCGGGGGTCGCGGGCTGCTCCCCGGCCCTAGGGCCTCTTGCTGGGCCTGACGCCTGCCGGCGCCTGGCCTTGCACACTGGCCCCTTCCCTGCCGCCTGCTCCCTCTGCTTTCGGGGCTCTGGCGGGTGGCCCCAGAGCGGCGCCCCGCCCGCCTCTCTGGGTGGCAGTTCGGCCCTGTCCTGCAGACCCCCAGATGGATGACGGAGGGGCCCTGCGGTCTCCCTGGAGCCAGCAGGGAGGGCAGGAGCCCCTCGCTGCTGCTTCCCCATTTTTCTGCGGGAAGGGACGGGCGCGCCAGCCTCTGACCCTGCGGGGTGCCCCACCCTGGCACCCCGCACCCCAGCCCTCTGCCGAGATAACGCGGTAGGCGGCAGACTGGGCTCGGAGACCCTCCAAAAGGACATGTTCGCGTGCCCCGGGGCTCCGAGGAGGACAGACTGACGTCACCAGCGGTGCTCTTCGGGCCCCTGGGAGCTGCCGTGGAGAGGAGGGTCAGTGGGTCAGAGCCCGCAGGTCTGATACCATCTTTCTCAGAAAAATGTAGAAGTTAAAGATTAAGCAGTTAGCTTCTGTAAACAGAGTTGCCCGTGAATCACTTCTTCCTGAAAGGCTACAGTTTGGGAAAATGATCCACAGAGAGGGATAATGTGGAACTCTGAGATGATTGCAGATAAGATGAGTTTTTTTTTTTTTTTTAAGATTTATTTATGTATTTATGCATACAAGAACTGGGGTGCAGGTCAGGCCAGAGTTGGGGGATGTGAGAGGATTCACTAGAGACAGAGAGGGGAGCAGAACAGGTCTACTAAACTATATGCTGAGGGGAGCAGCAGGGAGACAGGAGAGGTCTGCTGTACCACGCGGGTCACTCCCTGGCCAGGGATGGACTTAGGCCATTGGGGTGATAGTGCTGGGACTTAACCCCTGCGCATCAGGAAGGCCCAGTAGGTGAGACTTTTAAAAAATATTTATTATAATTATTTTTACATCATTTTGTGCCTTTTTCCATCACTTGTAATCTCGGCGGGACTTTTAAAAGACAGGATGCCACCAACCTCAGTGGCCTCTTTGGCACCCTGAAACAGATGAGAATGGTTGTACCCCAAGTCCACGGAGGGGGTGCTGGCTGCCGCAAGGAGGGATCTACCTCACGCTCTCGGGCAGATGCTTGGGTCTGGGCGTCGCTGCAGCCTGGCCCAGGGAGCCTGTGCTCGGCCAGCAGGCAGTGGCGCCCTCCAGGCCTCGGTGCCGTGGTGGGGGAGCAGGCTGGCGAGGGCTGGCTTAGGTGACAGCGTCGGGAGGACCTGGTTGCTCTGGGTGCCCCTGGGCTGCCCGCATCGGGAGCCCCGTGGCGGGTGGGCATCCGCGGGTTGGACACCGGGGCGGGTCTGGTTCTGGGTGTGGTGGGATGCTGCCGCCCTCTGAGCACGGAGCCATTTTGGAAGGACCGAGCGGGTCTTTTGCAGACCTGGCTGGTGGGAGATTCGCTGGGGTCAGTGCTTTACCCGGGGGGGGGGAGGGTCGGGGGGTGTGGGGGTGCAGCATGTAGGCGGGGCAGGGGCAGGCACCCCGCACTGTGGGTTTGAGGCAAGCCGAGGGCGGGTCTCGGTGGGCCGAGGGCGCGTTTGGAGACGGTGCTCGCCCTGCGAACGAGGCCGGCGTGACAGGTGAAGGGCACAGGCCGCTGTGTGGAGCCGGAGGGTGCTGAGGTCTCACTCTCTTCCCTCCTCCAGGTGCCGTGCTCGGTGTTTGACGGGGAGCTCAAGAAGCGCGACTTGAACCCGCTGATCAAGATCAGCGGGGGTTACCTGGTGGACGACTCTGACCTGGACACGTCCCTGTTCATCAACGTCTGTAGAGACATAGGTGTGGAGCCTGGGGGCGCGGTGCGGGCGGGCTCGGGGACCCTTCCACCCTCGTTCCTTGGGCGAGGCCCACGAGAACGCCGTGTCCCGGCTGGGGTTCTCCGCACCCCTTTACTCGCAGTGACTTGCACTCCGTCGGAACTCTCGGCCCACTCTGGGTTTCACAGTTCTCAGGTCTAAATCCAACTCCCGGTGAGGGGGAGCACGTTGGCTTGGCGTCCTGGGGCCGGGGGTCGTGGGAGGGCAGGGTAGGGCCTGGAGCCTGGCTGTGTGGCCCCGGGCGCCTTCAGTTCCAGGCGGGACAAGGGGGCGCGAGGGGGCCCAGCATCGCCCCCCGCCCCGCTGCTCTCCTGGCGTGTGCGTGGCGCCTGCAGACTGACTGAGCCCGTGCGTGGCCTGTGTCCCTGCAGGGCCATCCCGGGTGTCCTGGCCCTTGCTGGGTCCGTCAGTAACTTCTCGCACCCTCTGAGGCAGTGTGTTGGTAGCCCCGGGCCAGCGCTGTTTTTCCGCTGTGCTGGCAGCGTGGAGCTGTGTGCACCCTGCAGGCTTTGCAGTACTGTGAAACGATGCCTCGTCACGTACCATAAGAAGCGGATCATTTTTGAGTGTTTTCCTCCTGTTCCCATTTTTCACACAGTACATAGGACTTTGGCGCTAGGACAAGTTTGAAGACAAAAAAAAAAAAAAAAAAAGAACTGGCGGGTGGGCGGGGCTGGCCGTGGTGCAGGGATTCACCCATCTCGCCGGTTGCCCGTGCTCACTGGGCTCGCGGTTTCTAACAGGGCAGGGGCTGCACACCGCCAGCCCCTCACCACAGAGATGACTCTGTTCTTGGGCAGGATTTTATGTCCTGGAAGAAGGCAGATGTGCAAAGTTTTTGTTTTAAACGCCTGTAATTGAAGCTCAATGATAAAGTGCAGAGTTTACAGGCGATTGAGTTCTGGAGTAATGTGTCTTTCAGTTTGCAAAACATTCAGACTCCTGGTCCTTTTTTTTTTTTTTTCTTTTAATCATTTTGGGGTTTATCCAAGTTTACTGGTCTTAGACAGGTCTTTTCTTTCCAATTGACTGGCAATTAGAGTTGAATGTCAGTGACTTTGGTCACAGTTTCCACCACTCTCCACCCCAGGAAGGCAGTTGCCCAGAGCCTCATGCCAGGCTTGGTGGCGACCCTGGGGCCCCCGGCGACAGCTGTGGCTTGGCCACGCCTCGTGCATGCCTGGAGACCTGCTTCACGTTGTGTTTTCAGCAGATAAGCAGTCAGCCTGTTGTCAGGGCCCGTGGCACAGGGGCACTAGCCAAGGTGTGGGTGACAGCCCACCCATGTGTGCATCTCATGACAGGCGCCATGAGGACAGGTCTCCCGCTGGCCTGCTGGTGTCTGCAGGGCGCTGGCCCCTCCCCGGGGTGGCTTCAGCCCGGCCACGTTCTCGCTCCTGGCGGGCTGTGCCCTGCGAGGCGCTCCCGTTGGGGGGGGCTCTGCGCGGGGCATGTGCGGGCCCCTGCTGTCCTGGGGCTCGTACGCGGGCGAGGCTGTGCGCAGGAGCACGGAGCAGACAGCCTGGGGCAGCAGCTGGCGGCCGGGCGGGCAGGAGACAGCTGCAGCTGTGCTCGTGACTGTCCTCGCCGGGCGCTGGGCTGGGCTCGCAGGGCACGTCTCCCCTGGCCCTTCGTGCCCCCCAAAGCTGCGAGGCGCAGTTGGGGAGATCAGCAGTTAGACGGATGTCACAGAGACGGCACATGGGGCTTCAGATGGGAACCCAGAACTGCCCGTGCTTCTTCCTGCGCCCCCTCCCCCCAGCGAATCCAGGGAGCGCCTGCATTTTTTCGTTTATTTATAGCTGACAGCAGATCGTGCTGAAGTTAGCGTATCTCCAAGGGAAGGGGCACATTCCTTGTCTATGAATAACAGACCAGTCCCTGTTCTCGGTGGCTCTTCTGTGCCAGGTGCAGGCCTCGCATTCCTTCTCCCTGCGGGCGGGGCCGCTGGCTCAGCCGCCCTCTGGCTTGCTCAAGGTCTTGCCTGTGACCACAGCTCCCCCTTGTCTCCAAACTGCCACCTATGTTCCTGTCAGGAGATGGTTTCAAAAAGCTGCTCGTGTTTTCAAAGGGACCCTGGGCGCGGGGCGGTGTGCCCGCCGCCCGCCACCTGGCTCGACGCGGCCCCCACGTTGTGTTTTTCAGACTCGCTGCGGGACTCGAGCCCGCAGCTGCGAGAGTGCCCCCCCGGCACCGCCGCCTGCCTGCTGCGAGGGGGCCGGGCATTCGACGTGGGCCAGCCCAAGGAGGGCCTGAGATTCCTGAGCAACAACAGGTGGGTCCGCTCCCGGCTCGTGACTCAGCCAGGGCCGGCTGTCGCGGGGAGAGGGCCGTCCCTCCCCGCGCCTGCCTGTCCAGTACTGGTCCTGCCGGGCCGCGGCTGCCCCCAGCCGACTCCTTGTCCCACAGCGAAAGCCAGACCCCACCACCATCCGGCCTCGCCTGCGCTCACTGCCCAAGCTGCGCCGCCCCGTTTCCCAGTCACCCGCGAAGCCGCTCGGGGTCCACGCTCCTCTGTGTTGTGAAAGGCAGTGGCCACTCGCTGGCGTCCTTTCAGGGGCTCGGCTCCCCGTCCGGCCGCGGCGGCACCCTGTTCCCAGCAGGGCCCGGCGGGTGGGGTGTCCTCATCACACACGGCTCGCGGGGAGAGATCTCGACGAGGGACGTGATCTCGCTGTCCCTGCCCGTGTAGACGCCTCGTCTGGGTGGGCCGGGGCTGCCCTCACAGGTCACACTCGGTGCCCAGAAAACACGAGCGTGACCCACATGACTCACGCCCCGAGACCTGCGCGCGTGTGAGCCGGCCTGGGGTGGGCAGAGGCCCGGCTCCCTGGCCGGGGCGGTGCGGCCGGGCCACCTGGGCAGGCTCCCGCCGGGCTCTGTCCCGCGGGTGGGCGGCCGGCGTGCCCCTTGCCCTCCGCGGGCCGCGCCCCAGCCTCCCTGTCCCCTGGTCCCCACGACGCCAGCCAGACCTGGCGGCCCGGCCCGGGCGCCCCTCGCTCACTCCCTGCCTTGAGGACCTCACTTCCCAGCAGTCACTCGCCGAGGTGCTGGGGTGAGGTGCAGACGGCTGCGGCTTGCGCGGTCCCGGTACCTGGGTGACAGCTCGTAGGTCTTCAGACCCGGAGACTTAGCGGGAGAGCCCGGCGCCGCCAGCTCGCCCTCTGGCTCCGGGCTCCCGGCGGGACCCGCCGGCCGCCCCCACCCACCCCATCGGGCGCCTGCGACAGGAAGCAGCGAGCTGCGGCTCCCGGCGGGGCGGGCCGGGCTGCTCCGGGCTGCCCGCTGCTGGCTTGCTTTGTTGGGGCCTTCGTAATTGTGTTTTGTTTGTTTTACTCCAACAGAGCTTTTAGAGTTACATGTTGGTCGTTCATTTGTTTATTTTCAAAACAAAATACTCACTGGAGTTTACTTTCAAATTGTTGTTGTTTCCCCAAGTGGCCATGAACGAAGGCTTTCTGTGTGTGACCTCGTTTACATTTTAATGGGACGTAGCCCCGTCCAGCGTGGGCCTGGGCGTTTGCTGAGGGCAACAGACGAGCTCTGTTACTTATAAAAAAGTGGTTTCGGCTTGTGTAACACTCCTTGCTCACTGTGGTTCACACAGGCTCGTCCTGAGTTACGTGAAGGAGGAGGCGGCCACGCCGGACTTCTGTGCTGGCCACAGCCCGGCAGTGACCATCACGTTTGTGTGTCCGTCAGAGCGGAGAGAGGTGAGTGGCTAGTCTCGAAGCCAGGGCTGAGCGGGGTGACGGGGCCGGGCACAGGCGCCCATCCCGCCGTGGCTTCCCCTGCGCCTCGGGTGACAGGGCGTGGTGTTCCTGGAGCGGTAGGGTGGTTTCAGTGGCCTGTGGGCAGATTTCAGCAGCCTGACGGGATGTGTACTTGAAGAACTGCACGTGAAATCCCTGTCCTCCGATTCTGGGGCTGTTACTGCTTCGGATGAGGCAAGGTGAAAAAAATAGCTGCTGGCTTCCAGGCTGAGGGAGAGGGAGCGGGACAGCTGGTCTGCAGACCTGGCTGGCGGGAGCCGCAGGCCGGGCGCGGTGGGGGAGGGTTGGTGGCGGGGGAGGTCCTGGCGCGCTCGGCCCCCCTCCTCACACTCAGGCTGATTTATGGCTCTGTCCTCTGGTTATTTATTCAATCCCAGCATAGCTGTAAGCTCCTGAGGGGAGGACCCCAGCCTTGTTTGTCCTTGGGCCCAGGCCCAGCGGCCTGTGCATGTCCCTGGGGGCTGGCTAAGTGCTTCAGCAGGCGCGGGGTGCTGTTGGGGGGGCAGCCCCCAGGAGGAAGGGTAGGGCTTTCCTTATTTTTACTGCTGTCTTAGAATAGAATGAAGCAGGAGGAGCCGAATTCTTTTTGTCAGGGAACCATGTCTCCCCCCACTCCTCCAGCAAACACGGAGCTCGCCCTGGTTTCCTCCGGCCCGGGCCCTTGTGTGTGCGTGCGGGGGTGGGGGGCACAGAGTGCCTGGCACTGGCCTCCGCTGCCTGCGGCGCCCCCCCACGTCCGGGGCCACGTGCCGGCAGCGCCCGAGGC